CCACTGACAAATTATAGAGAAAACAAAGGCTTTCACTGCCTTCTTCCAACAAGTCTACTATGGCAATCAAGCAAAAAATCAGAGCAGAGGAAGCTGCCAGTGCTGGTTCAGCCTCAGCGCACACCTTCTGTTACGGAGAAGCAGGAGAAAGGGGTGAGTTCCTTCTCTGAAGGCACCTGCTCCTTTGTTCACCTCTTTACTGACCCCCTGCACTGCAGTGGGCACGGTACAGGTCGCTAAAGCAGCAAATAAAATAACTAGAAAAAGTTAAGTATCAGCTCAGCGCCCATGTCAGGGAGTCATGCTCACTAACTAACAGATTTGTAAAGAGATGACCCTGCAGGTGAACAAAAAAAAAAAAAAAAAAAAAATCAAGACATAAAAGATGGGACTAAAGCACCACCGTTATGGATAAGTGAAAAATTGGAAGAGAACATCTGCAGAATACCAAGCCAGGTGGGCTGGGGAGGATGGGGGAGAGGAGAGGCAAAAGCAAGTAAGGAAACGATACGGTAAGTTAGTGTGGATGTATTAAGTACACAACATGAAGCGAGATAAGGAAAAGGAGAAGGAAGAAGCATCTGAAGAAATGTTTGAAGGCCCATCCCAGTACTATTACACTAGACACATGCTACTTAGCATCAGGAATATGAGGACACCATGAGCAACTTATCATTCATTGCTCCATAGGGAAGAAGAGATGAAACGTTTTTACTCTGAACTAAAGGTGAAAAGCACTCAAATTCCATAAGAAACTGCTAGGCTATATAATGAGCAGATTTGAAACTACTTAGAGGAAACAGCATCAGAGAAGGGTGTTCATCACCCTGGGCAGGCCACACAAATTAAGAGAAAGTGGAGCTGTGAATTACAATGAACAGAGACTAAATAGCTGCCTGTGTTGGATTAAAGGATTTAAATTGTCAGCTTGATGTATAATGAATGTGAAAACCCAGCACTTAATTAAATGGCACATGATAGAATAACTTTGTTATGCTTTAAACCGCTTAAGTTATCAAAGTATTCCTTATATTTAGCAATTGTTTAGCAGTATCTCTCTCCCTTGTGAGATCCGCTAAGGCATTGGTCATTTATCCTGTGTTCAGCTGTGGCAAAATACAGAACTTTTTTTTTGTTCTGTAATCTGAGTTTTCAGTCACAGCTAGTGAATTTCTAGCAATGTAAAGTCACTGAACGCTGCTGAGACACAATGATGGGCTACCAGGTGCTCTAAGGATCCCACTGTCAACACCTTGCTACCAAACTGAGTAGACATTGGGGACTGATAGTTCTTCCCAGATCACAGACCATCTCCCTGCTCGCCACCCCTAAAATGACTATTAGCTCTTCAACCGTGACTCTCACGCTTGAAGGGTCCCAGCACAGGGGTGAAAGAGCAGCCAGTCCCCAAGCAGCCGTTGTCAGGCCTGGCTTGTGCCAAATAAAAACTTCAGCCTCCTCCTTATCTGCCTTAAGGAGTACATCCGCCAACGGGGAAGACAGAAAATGTGTTCTGCCATTGCATTTTGACAACAGGAACTGACTTTTAATTTTTCGATCTGGAAAGCAAATTTAATGAGTTACCTTGTACGGAATGAGGACAGTCAGAATGGAAATTACACAGAAGAATCAGCAGAAGCAGCAGATGAGGGATCACCATAAGGGCTAGGACAGGGCTTCTGATTCACTTTTTAAAGGAATCATATAGCACAGAAAGACTTAAAGGCTAAATAAAGGCGATTAAGAGGACTGCTCCATCCTACAAGGGTTGATACGAAGAAACATGACCACACAGTTTTCCAGCAAATTCATGATTTTTTTTTCTTATCCCATTCAATTTATCACATCCTTTTACATTTCTTGAGCCTCTGGCAACTCACGTGTTGGTCATTCAAAAAGAAGGTTTCCTTAACCCTGGCGTTCCTGTGCACATAGGATGGTTAGGAGGAGCACGAGATAGGAAGGATCCTCCCTTTTACACAGACACAATGAGGACACAGATCCTGGAGATGACTCAGTGTCCCAGGGGAGCACGTGCGCACTCAAATCAGAGATGTGTTACATGCACAATCAAAAACAAAGACAAAAAGAAAAAAGTACTTACAGCTACTGCTATTCTTCCGAGTACGTGTTCTGGAATTTTTCTATAAACATCCAAAGAACCCCCTGCAGGGACAAACAAAATGTGCTTAGGTAATAAAAAATGAAATAGTGCCCTAGATTTGAAGTCACAAGGGTTTTCTACGCCTTGGTTATTAATAAAATCACCATCAATGATATAACAATAACTGTGTCGGAAATAACTGACCTTAAAAATCTACCAAACTCTGAATAAACAGATGAAACCGAAGTCAGGTCTGTTTTCACCCACATCACTTATTTTTCCTTGCAGTATTAATACTCAAACTCCTGTTAGAAAACCTCCCTGTCACAGGACAGAATATTGAAATTGGAGAACTCAAACCCACCAGGTTCAGAGTAACTTCTCATCATCCCAAAAAGCAACAGCGGACTTCGAAGTCCAAAGTATCCTAACTCTTGTCCCCAAAACCTGGCGCTAGCATTACATGCTATCTGAGACAATGCTTATATACATGCTTAAAGCTGATTCCTCCTGGCGATCAAACCAATCAAAGTTTGGTTGAATGTTGCAGTCTGTGTCCACGCTGATGTCTGAAAATGAAAGACAAGGAGCTCCTGGGCAAGCAGATAAATTTTGCCAATAAACTCCAGGATGGGACACAACTTGCTATCTGGCATAACCCTGTCCAGTCAGCACCATACATTCATGGTGAAAGCAAGAAGCCTAAGTTCCTCTAATGGCCCTACAGACATTCCCAAGGGACTGGGAAGGATTGTTTCCCTTATCTTCTGCAAAGGAGATTCATGACCAAAACAGTGTTCAAAATGTCCTGGAGTGAAATACAAATTCTTTCTTTGCAAGAAAGCAAATTTAAAATCGAGAATTAAAAATATCCAAGTAGAATGGCAAAAAAAAAAAAAAAAAAAAAAAAAAAAGAGAGAAAAAAAAGGGAAAAAAAAAAAAAAAAAAAAAAAAGGACGAGTAAATTACAGGCAGAACATATTACCGTTAGCTTGCAAGAGTGTATTGTCTTATTCAAGGCTTGAGGTTCTGAGAAGTGCTCTGCACTGACTTAACTCTGCTCTCAGTGTAGCATATGGATTTTACCAATGACACCACCGGGAAAAGACTTAGGCCAACACTCAGCAATTAAGCAAACTATACTGTACTTTGCTTACGGTTCAGTTTTTAAAAGTAAACCCCATTTATTCTGAAATGCTGCAATCCAAAGAAGTCAAAAGGTTCTTATTCCAGTCTTCAGCCTTAATTATACAATAGTTCTTCTTTATACTATACTTCTTATTCTAATGACTGGGGTTTTGTGGTGGTGGTTGTTGGTTTTTTCCCCTCATTTTCCTCATAGTCTCTACTGACAGAAATACAGTATATGTTTGTCTTCACTAATGTTGCTCTGATTCCATACTATTTGTTCATTAAGTTTAATCTTTCAACTTACATTGTCCACATTGCCTGTGGAATCTCAGTTTTAAAAGTAAATCCAAGTACTATTGAATGGAAATATGAGGATGTAGCATCACAGATACCTACCGCTCACTACAAAAGCCAAAGAGAAGGCAATCATATGGTTCCTGTTAATGCTTATAACATATCCTTAAATTTTGGACAAAAAAAGACCTGTTTTCATAGACCAAACTGCTAAGTCTCGCTATTACAGATGTCACTAAAGGTAGTGCTGTTTGAAAAATGAGGGAAAGTATCTTTTTGCAAACAATTGGGGAAATCGGCCATTTTTCTATGGAGAAAAAGTTCTGTAGCAGACAACATTTCCAAATCCAAATAATGTCAGTTCCCGTATCTGTGTGTAGACATCTAAGTACAGTCTGATAACCTGCACCTCTCGCTGTTTTTAAGGGGAATTTAGCAGGTGTTCAGCAGTTTCAAGGAAAAAAGGCAACAACATAAGTAAAAGGCAATAGCGCATTTCACCATCTTTATTTAGAACATCATCTTTATTATAAATACAAAAGGGCAAAATTAGAAAGCCTCATTTCACATCTCTCTTGCTCTTTAAGATCAATTGGCAGGTGGGAGAGTGATCCAGGTCAGTTGAACCTCAGTGTTTTGATATTTGCAGACTTGGAGTTACTTGGCTTTTTCCTGCTTGCAGGTGCCAGGAAAGAACCGATATGGTACTATACGTCCACCTTTTCCCTATGGGTACCCCTAAGTCACAAGGATCCCAAAAAAGGCAGATCCATCTGTATCTAGGTAATTCAAAAAGGAAATACCTATGTTTTGTAATATGGTACAGGATACAACTGGGCAAATAGTCATGGGATATGGATTCAGGAAACACTACAAACTGGCCTAAGACGGTCAAAAGGGCTAAAAATTGGTCAAGGTTAAAGCTGTTCATCTGCAGGGTGAGAAAGTATTTTTTCTTATCTTCACCTGCATCCTTATGCATCAGAATTAAAGGTCTGGGGAAAAAAAATGTCAAGGTCCCTTTATTTGCATTTTGTTCTTCCTTTAAATGATTGCTGTTGCTTTCTGCCAGAAGGAGTGCACAACATGAGGCAGACCAGAGGTCATCACCGGTATAATTCCAAGTAATTTGTGCATGGTCAGTAAACACCATCGTTGTGCAACATCATGAGGGATGCATACCCTAAAGGCTTAAGTATTTTCAAACAAGAATTCAGAACTGCAAGCATTTATGTCCGTCATTTTTAAAAATCTCTGAATTAGTAAGAGCATGCACACTCTAGGCAGATGCATGTTTTGCCATGAGCAGCTGCTTCCTTAATGCACGTGACTACTGCTTAACACAGGCTTGCAAGTCTGAGTGCAATTGCAAGGACAGAACAGAGAAATGGCTAACAGTCACACAGCATGAGGACAACAAAGTATTTAACTTGTGGGCTGTATTTAACTTGTGGGCTTTGCTGAATAAATGTAATACTTTTTCATCAAATACAGAAAATCTGACAGAATACTCATACTTGGAAATGGGGCACAGTGATCACTGGGACAGAGGTAGTAAGTGTAAAAAGAGAGAAATAACAGTAATAACAGACCATTTTAACAGGGAGAAAACAAAATGCACCATAAAACCCTAAAGGGCTTTATCTGTAGTCCCCATCAGAAAGAAAGAAGCTACTCAACGATGCTTAATGGTACACATTTGGCTTTGGAAATTTTTCCTGCCAGAAAGCCTTCCCTCCATAGCAAATTATTTGTGAGATCCTTACTTCTTTATATGCAGCTTAACTGAACCTTTGTGAAAAACCTGGATAGGGCATAAAACGCTGGCTCATAAGAAAACCCTGGCTCATAAGACTACTGCTTGTAACACAACGCGATGTTAAAAGTTGAACACTGTGAAGGGGATTCTTGTACACGAGACACAAGGGGACTGCATCTGACATGAGACACGCTCTCAGAATTGATACACAGAGGGCAGCAATGATTACAAATTGCTGTAATCAGTATACCTTTCCTGCCTTTTCCCCAAGAATGCCACACAGCACAAGATTTCAAAGCAAAGCACTAATACATCTCCATAACGACAGTAGCATCAGATTGTGGGGAAGGGGATACCATTGGTCTGAAGATTCACACTGGGAGAAACAAGAGTACACTCAAAAAGAAACTCAGCGCAGCACTGCTGAACAGCTGTGTTAGAAAATAATTCCTTGTCTTGCAATTAAGAGACAATTTCCACTGAAAACACATAGGACATTGGGTTAATAGATTTCTTTAAAAGATAATCTGTTTTGGCTATCAAAACAGTAAAAGTGAGGAACAGCTGTTTTGTCAGCAAGGACAGATTGTATGGAAGACTCCAATATCAAACCACAAATTAAGTTAGCATTTATTTCTGTTCTATTTACATTTTCAATAAAAGTAAGCGAAGTTACACTCAGGGAAAATACAGTGTACCATGGAGAATACAACACAATCCCAATACTAACCTGTTTTTTTAAAAACTACCTGCAAAGTTATTAATACTTTACATTTTCAAGTCATACTACTGCATTTTGCTCCATTCTGGAAAAGCACATCTTTATATGATTTTCCCATTTACATACTTTGCAATCAAAAGCACACTAGACGTACAACTCACCATCCATGAACTCTGTACACAATGAAATTCTGTTTTCTACAAAAAAAGCACCATAAAATCCTATGATATATGATGAGTCACACTGGAAAAAGAAAAGAAAAAGAGAAGCCTGTTTTAAAATTTGCTGTAAGAAGATTACAAGCAAGAATAATGAAAATGAGAAAGTCTATATACCTTATAAAGAATTTCTAACTCCGACATTATCTGCTTCTGGAGTTCCAGTGTTATATCTAAGGGTATGACCTAAAATACAAAAAATGGACATATGATCACAGTTGACACAAAAAGTAAGTGAATAATTAAAAATAAAAAACCTGAAAAACCATGTATTAATTATCCTTATGTGAGAAAAGGAAAGAGAGGAATAGGTGAAAAGAGTATTTTAATAGAGCAATGAGCAAAGGAAAGATATGGAAATGAAAGGACAGACTTACTTACTTTCAGAAGTCAGTTACAAGTAAACAAAGTTACACAGCCAATTTTATCCATGAAATGTCATAAGGTTTGTGGTTTAACCATTGGACCAAGGGACGAGTTAGAACTTGAACACAAGCCCCACATGTAATGTAAAGAGCAGGCGTGGTAGATCTGCCGGTCGGTAAACTCAGAATTGCTGTTTATTCACCCAAAGTGCCATCACCTCCCAGCTCCCGCTCGGTACAGCCTCCTCCTCACCTGCCCAGCACCGATTCTTCTCACTGCAAAGACGTCTTGTGAAAAAGCCTGGAAGGCTGTGACCCCTTCAGCAGGCCTTGCTGAACGTGCCCATGTTAACGCTAAACGCTAAATAAATACCGTAGTATTGAAAGTATCTCTGAATGTCTCAGCGGTGCCCTAAAGGACCGTCTCTTACCACCACTCTCAGAGTTTCAGTTTCTTTAATATTTACCCCCTTTTTTATATATTGCATTGTATGAAACACGGAAAACTGTTAAATACACAGAAAAAATGCAGATGATACCAGATGGTACAGATGCTTAGGTAAGCATCACCAAAGCATCGCTCAAAACAACTACAACCAACCTGACTCTCAGCGCTCAGCAGCTCAAACCAGCCGCTCACTGGCATGCTTATCTGCTGCTTCCTTCATCCCTGCCCTCGTTTTTCATCGTTTTGAGCCAGGCTGCTAAACAGGACTGAAGTACCAAGCGCTGCTGTGAAGGTGGGGTGCACTGTCTGAAGTTACAAGTTTTCAGGATTTTCAAGACAGACCCTCTTAATAAGGATGCTGGTTCAGAACCAGCATTGAAAGTCAACTTTAAAAAACAATTCTTTGTCATGATTATTTGAAGACTTGCACACTCAATTATTAAGTACTGCTATATAAATCAAAATGGACTCCAAATGCATTTAGCCAGGCTCAGTCTGCTACCACATAATATTTCACAGTTTAATACTTTAAACTAAAGGGAAGCAAAATTTGGTCAATTTGCAGAATTAGCAGAATAGATATTATAGGCTGCACACACTGCTGACAAAACAAAATACAGAGAGACCATTTCCAAACACACTCATTTTACTGTATCAAAATCTGTCTAAAAGAAAAAACGATAACCTGTTTCTATCAAGAGTTTGCTTTAGGGTTATTTATAAAAGCTGCCACTAAACTAAATTGTAAGTGTAATACAGGGCTGCCAAGAAACGTTTAACACACTTGTCTAGATCAATAATCGTTTGCCAACAATATTCACTTACATTTTTCCAGTGTGAAAAACTTAAAATAATTTGCTGGAATACCATCAGTTTTACCCACTGAATATTAACAGAATTTAATCTTGTCAACAGTCTAAAATTAAAATTTTATCCCACTAAATTCTACTCACAGTGAGAAATTTCCCTGCCTCGTTCACTGTGAAGGCTCCACCGACCTGAACAATGACTAGTTAGCATGATCAGCGTCAAATACATCACTGACATCCAATCAACCAAGACCTGGCATGAAGAAAGGTCTCTGGCTGATTTGCATTAACTATAATTACATACAGACCCTGCATTCTAATAGTGAAGATAACCTGGAAAAGCAGAGCTACCCTATTTACAAGTGTTCAGGATACAGGGTAGGGCACGTACAGAAACGTACTGCAACGGCATGGCAAGCGTTTATCACCACAAAATAAATGAGGAGAGACCACTGTCTCACTTTCTCTGCATAACTATTGTACAGAAGTGTTTTCTTCCATCTAAACATGCATGGCTTGTGCGACTTACAACACAGGAGAGAGACCCATCTGATGTCAAGGTTGGAGGAACGTTATGTTATTTGCAGCATTGAAATGCGGGCAGAAAGAGAGAAAAAAAAATATCTATACAGCACTACTTTAATCTGCACATGGTCATACTCCTTTCATATAAAATTTCCAAGCGTATTTCAAAAATGAAGTTTGCATGGGTGAAACAACTTTTAAGAATACGTGAGCCGACAGTGTTAAGCATGGGCTGGAACAGTGTTAAAGCAAGGAAAAAACCCAACCCTCCTCAAATCCATTGCTAGCAAGGACAAAACTGTGAATAAGGAATTGGCTGCAACTTCCACAACTGTAACAAAGGTAAGCAAATGAGATGTAACATTAGACAATAAAATTTTCCAAAACGGCACCTTTGGAAAGAACTTCGTAGCAAAAAATCACCATGATTTTCTCAGAATTATTGAGAGCAGAAAAGTGAAACTGAATTCATCAGGCATAGAATGAAATGCTCTGAGTTCACACCGTGCTGTTCAACACATGCAGGAGCAGAGTTTCTTAACAAGTTTGCACCAGAAGCTACCAACAGAAGTCCAAGGAACAGACGAGCTCGGCAGGTTGCCGCTGACCAGCGGTCCCACATCTGCCAAGGGGTAATGGAGCCCCAGGGACGCGGATGAACAGGACTGATGTAGAGATGGGGCCAAGGGTAACCCGGGCTGGCTGGGGAGGGGGGCTGGCAGCCGAGAGCTCCAATGCCTGCCCTCATTTCAAAACTAGTCGAAACGGTGCCTCACAGGTAGAGCTGGAGAAGGATACTAGACAAGGGAGCATTTTTTTTTTTTTTTTTTTTTTAATTTAAATTACATGGCAGTCCTCTGGGATTCAGCAAGGGGCTCCAAGCACCTCTGCACCTCTTCAAGTTCCTGCCTAAAATGCAGCAATCTTGGAATTGCTTAGCAAGCTTATAACGTACGTGAACTCAACATACCTAACATTTCAAGTGGAAAGGGTTAATTTTTAAAAGAGGAATACCTGAGCATATTTCCTCTGCTCTCCATTACACCTCCAGGACAAATAAGGATGAGTTGTCAAGTTAAATACAAGCAGTCAAGTGACTGAATTATAATTTACTCTGTGCTCAATTTAAATTAGTGTGAGGCTATTAAAATATACAGTATAAATACGGCAATTCATCACAAGCTGTCATGGATGACTTCATCTATTTGCTGGAGTGGCATACGTTCCACTAAAGGGAACGAGAGCAAAATCACAGGTCAAATTAAGCTGCTATTCTGTTTTAATTCACTTATTTAATCTGTGGCGACATAATTGTCTTTTACAGTATGTACAACTCAAAGGAAATTTGGGAGTATTATAGTCAGTATACAAATGATTAATCAAATGGTCCATTTAAATGCTAGCTTAAGAGCAGGAAAAACTAAAAGCAGTTGAAGAATGGCAATCAGCCAGCATACGCTCAAATTTTTCATTTGGATTTTTCCCTCTAATTAGAAAAAAGTTACCTTAGAAAAATCTAGTAAATCCTCTGCACATTATCTAGCTGTAAAGTCTACATAAAATACGTAATGAATAGACAGCTTTGAACTACAATATAGGTATTAGCATTGGTTTGTTTTCCTGTTCAATGTATTTGCAAGATTAATTACCAGCTGAAAGCATTTTAATCAACAGGTTTTCAGAATGTTATCTTGTCCTATCAAATATGTATATTATTGTCAGAAAAAGCACCCCCAAAATGCAGAACTCCGCTTTCACAGACCCATCCAGTGATGTCCCTTTTAGTGATGCCCTCTGTCAAAACACTTGATCCTTGTGATGATTGTGTCAAGACGCTGGCATTAACATCCTCTTTTTATTGCTGGGATGCTGAGCCATAGATGTGTTAAGTAATTTTCTTAACAGAGCAAGCCAGCATGATCACTGTCATAGCAGGTTTCCTGACCTCCAGTTTGTGAGCATGTTATTTTAAACTATGCTAATACACACATGTTGATGCAATATTTCTTCTGAAATCACACTAAAAAAATATAATTGAGAGTGACAGGACCACTGTGAGTAGTATCTACAAGAGAACCCAGTTCCCCAAATCTTCAGGATGCTAATTATCCACCAGGACTAACCAAACCCTTGGACTCTAAGGGAAACAAGGAGGCGAAATTGCTGGGGGAAAAGGATTTTTGCCACAGGGAGGTGATTTCAATTAACCTTGCAAAGGGTGAACTCATTTCCCCTCCTGCCTGTGCGATTTTTCTCCTGCTCCACCTCCTCTCCAGGCAGCTTCTGAGGGCACCCACAGCCCCACAGCAGCAATGCCAGCGCCAGGCAGAGCTGGCACAGAAGATGCTCTCTGTAGAGCTTGAAAAAGATTATTCAAGGAAGCAATGCAGTAGGTACCAGGGAAAAGCAGCATCCTTACTCAACCCCCGCTTTTTTAGTTCCACATGGAAAGTTGTAATAAAGAATATTTTTGATTACTAAATTTCCTGTACTTTTGTGCCTATTGCAACTCGGAGAATTCCTGTCTTACTCTAACTGCTCATGACAGCTTTAGGAATGATGGATACCGTTTGAAAGGACTTTTTCAAAAGGACTTTTTCAAAAACTTTTTCAAGTGGTATTTGTATTCCATATAATTAGAAGTTATTTGGGTGTTATTTCAATTTCCATATTTTCCACATGTAGGGAATAATTTCAAATCCAGTACTAAGCACTTGCTTCTCTTCAATTCATTGGAAAGTCAAAAGCATTTTTCCTAGTGGGGTGAAGGGATTTATGTGATCCTCAGGACAGCCGAAACACGGGCAGAATCTCCTTTTAGTAAATTATATCTGATTGGAACCACAAGACAAATCTGAACGTTACCCATATATGTAAATATTGCCTGGTAAATATAAATGCTTCATTTCAAGTCTTCGTATAATCTTACATCTTTAAATTCCATTTAACACCAATTCTACTTGCAGCAACCAGCTCCCATCACTCCTTCTCTTGCCCTTCTCTCCCACCCCCACATTCCTTCAGTTTAACTCAGTTACACCAGAATTTAGTGATTAAATAAAGCCAGTGGAAAAAAAGAAACGAATCCAAAAGTCCATTTCACAGTTTTTTAAGTAATTATTCCATAAGTTGTATTTTTAAAATATACCTTTTTTTTAGATCCCACACTATTAATTGGAATTCTATGAATGCAACAACTAATTTGTTTTCCAAAAGTCTCTACTGCTCTGAGTTTTAACAAAATCGCCAAATTAAAAACAATTGTTTGATATATTAGAAAAGGATATATTTCAATATTTTTTATAGATTAACTGTATTAATAAGTTAATTTACAAATTTAACTTAATAAATCACATACACGGGTTGGAAAACTCTGTTTTCAGAGTTGTGCTATTAGTTTACCACAGTTTTAACTGAACTTCAGAGAAGACTGGTATTTATCTCACCACATAACACTACAGTATGCAGCTTCACTGCAAAGAATGCTAACAAGGAAAAAAAGAGCCAAATCAGTTGGATTAAAAAAAAAAAACAAAACCACAATTGGAGTGGGGGAAGAACATTAAAATAAACAGACCTGTTAAAACCACAAAATCTCCTAGGAAAACAGAGTATTATCTCAAAGAAAACAGGGAAATTCTCTTTATTTAAAAATGAGGTTGCAGAGACCACTCGAATATGCCCTTGGGGACAGTTTGGCATTAGCAGAGAAAGGTACAGGCTGACATCCCACGACCTTTCCATCCCCACTCCTGTAACGCCGGGGTTCAGGACGCTGAAGCAGCATCTCCGCCAGCCGCTGGAGAGGCACAAACCACAACTGCAGCTGGACACATCCCGTAACCCCACGGGAAGATGTGCTGGTACCTACACACAGTGCCAAGGAATTCCCGGTGGGTGAAACCTAGATTCTGGGAACTCTGTGCTCATTTGGAATTACTAGATTTATGGACTAGAGTTTTCCTGCATAAACAATGTGGACTTTAATGCAATAAACCAAACTGAGATCTAACAATCAGAGGGAAGGGAAGGAAACCAAGGTCAAGAAAGAATGGAAAGAAAGAAAGAGAGAAAGAAAATTACTGTAATATCTTACCTTTACTGCTAGTATTTTTCCACTAGGGACATGATATGCCCTGCATGAGGGAAAAAATTAAATAACTTGAGATCACATAAAATTACCCCTATACATATGTGCAACACGTATACACTAATTTCACAGAAAAATGACTTGGAGCTAATACGTTTTACGTTAAACCAATTTTATATAGCATTTCTAAAGAAAGACTGATGAAAACAATTGATCAAAAGAACATACTTACAATGAAACCATTTAGTAGGTTTTTACATCTGCATGTTTTATATAAAATCTACACATTGAAGACTTTCGTACAGCATAATAGCAAACTTAGAAGTATGAATTTATGCACTTTCACATTTTCTTTCAATGAAATAAAATTATGATATATCCATTATTCAGAATCTTCACGTAAAATAAGGTTTATCGCGCAAGTTTGCAGTCCTACAGGTATTTTCAGTGGTACGACAGTGAGATACACAGCTGTATCTACTGAAGTGAAGTAAAACAGGCAATGACTGATTCTTTATCATAACCTAAGGACCCACAGAAAGTATTAGCGAAATTAACTTTCTGCATTTGTATTTAAGATTAGTGTGTGTGTGCGCATATAAGGTTAGAAAGCATGAATGCTCACATGTACCCAAAATAATTTTCCACGGTATTTCAAGAGCAGTTTGTCTTAATTTCTGAAGACAAACATTTATAATTGGCTATTTAACAATGACTTGTGTATTCCTAACCATGAACTCATAGGAAAATAAAAAGGTAGGCGAAAAAATGTCTACTAAAAATCCGATGTAATTTTGCATAAAAACAAAACCATTAAAGGTTTTCCTCTTCACTAGTTTTATTGTCTCATACTGATTTATGACACCATGCACAGTAATGTCATATATGTGGCACTAACTTTAAAGAATTGTAATATTTTACCACTATATACCTCTAGCAATTATTACTGAACAAGAAAAGCTTTAATAGTTTGTTTTTTTTTTTTTTTCATGCAAAACCATACATAGTACAGGGCGAGACTGTTGTTTAATCTTATTTATAACCCTGAGTGCTTATATAATTTCTGTTAACAGCTCGGAAGTTTCTAAAAACTTCACCTTAATTTAATAACTGATGGATAAACATTTATGTAACCAAGTGGCATTAGCTTTTAGGAACAAATACAGTTTAAAAAGGCATACCAAAAATCAGTGTTATTTAGTATCAGTACAACACGCAAAAAGCAGAATCAGCAGACGAAGCTCTGACAGACTGGTAGCTGAATGCATAGTCAATGAATCCAACGGAGTAAATGAACTCTGCTGTAACTATGGATGAATCAACAGTGGCAAAACATTATGGACTTAAGATCAGCAGAAATGATAAGAAAATGAACAGGTTGAGATAGCATGCTTAACGTCTGTTAGCTTAATATGTACTGTGCCGGACAGTTTGGCAACTTAATTAGCTTGTCAAGAAAGCTGATCTTTTTTCCATAAGAGAGATCTCCTGTTTCCAAGTGAATTAAAAGGGAAGACTTGATTATTTAATTATGATGCACGCTAATTCATCCGTGGAAGTTTGGGTTAAATTTCCAGCAGAGGGCAGATACCTGGTTTGGTTTACAGAGCACTGACAGTACCAATTTAACATTTAATTATCGCTGAGAATTGGATCACAAAGGAGATACCATGCCCATGGGTACAGCGCGTCCAGTGGCTTTGCAAATGGCATGCTACCTGGGAGGAAAGGAATTTGTTTACTCCAGGTTGATCTGGCATCTCGATTGTCCTGACCTTCCTCAACACAATAACTGTAAAGTGATTAATGAAGTTTGAATAGGAGCTTTGGTTACACCAAAAGACAACTGTACACCTCTGTAGTGTTTTAATTAACAGCTAACACTTCAAATTAGTCTGTAGTTGCTACAGTAATTACCCGTTCCAATGAGTGTGTAGGGAAAACGTTTTTGTTAGATATTATGTAGAACTGTAAGTTGGAATTGATCATTTTGGTTACAGTCAGCACAGCTAAAGCCTGAAGATTTAGTACCTTTATGTAGCTTCAGAAGGATGCACTAAAAAAAATCCCACAGAATAATGTGCACAGCATGAAGAAAAACATACTTTTTGTGCATACTGCACCCGTCAGTAAGTCTATGGATGTCTATGAGGAGATTAAACTAATATTCATACTCTACAAGTAATGTGAAGTCTCATCTCAAGGGTCAACTCTCACAGATTTCAGTGTCGCCTCCAAAAGTAAGTAAACAAGCTCATCATTGTAGAACCAGATCATTAGACGAAGCAAAGTAGTAAAATGCAGAAGGTTCCTCAGCAACGCTGTACATTTCAGTGAACATGCACTTAAAAATCTTCCAGGATGGTAGGCAAATGATGTCGCCTAATAAACAGTTACAAGAACAACTCCTCTTGCTAGGAATGCATTTGAGCAGTGCCTAACAGTAAAGACAAGTGGATGTTAAAGACGAGTGAAAACAGTTGCTAAATAGCTGCTGAACTACTTAAAGACAAATGCAAAGAGCAGAAATTAAATGCATCGAAATGCAAAATACTCAAGGAAAATGCTGTTTTGACGTTTGCAAAATTTCATTCCTTGCAGAAACCAGGTCTGGGAAAACAAATTCATTTTTCTGCTCTTTTTTGTTGGGGTTTGTTTTTGGTTTGCTTTTGACGCACTGCAAAAGCTATAATGGATGATTGAGAATAGGTGGCTATAAATTATTTATTGTTATGGAGAAATCGAAGAGACAGTACTACATCAGAGAGCCAACCTCTGCAATCAGAAGTTTAAAACGTCATTTTGAACACTTGATGCCAGTGTCAACTATTAAAAATATAGAAGTTATTATTTAAGTTTTGTTGCAATTTGCCAACTGCAGAAAGTGGGTTCTGATGTGCATTTCCCCTTCCCTCTCTGCCTCTTAGTTAAACTGGGAATTTGTAAGACAAATGCCATGGCATGGACTGCTCTTTTTACTCTCTGGAGAGGAAACTCCTAACAGATACTGGGACAAATTAAGAATACATTTTTATGCAGGGCCTGATCTAGATCCCACCCAGGTTAGTTGGAGAATTCCATCTACCACAAACTTTATGTTTTATTATTTTAAGTGTAAACTATTGGAAATGCTATGAGATTAATAACCATTTTAGTAACAACTTTCTCCACTACTAAAAATACTTTTTAGGTATATATTGAAAAATATTGACACAGTATTTATTAAAATAGTAGAAAAATAAACACAACAGCAATCAGATAATTCATTTGGTGCCCTATTTCTGCACATAAAGAGACTAATTCCAGCACCCTGCACCCAACTAATTTGTTATTTTATTTTAAAATAGACAGTTGTTAGCTATTGCAGCCATGGTATTTTTTAGGCTGACGATAATAATTGAATTATAAAAAAAAAAAGCAGAGTTCAGAAATCCATTTTGGGATACCAATTTTACAAGACGATGCATTCTTTTCAAATTCACCAAAGCCTCACTGAAAATAGTTGCTGTGCGTCTGTAGGAAGACAAGACAGTACAAAAAGTTGTAGATCTTAACCTGATCTCCGGTGGCATCTTCAAAGTGAAGAGTAAAGGGTAGTGGTTTAAAATTTCATCTTAGTCTCAGAATATATATGGGATACAAGAAAATAATTCATACTAATTTTCCCCAGAAAATGAAAATTCTTCATGCAAGCAAACTGTTCTTTCTTGATGCTCAGAATTATATTTTGGTTTCTATGTCCAATACAGATACTCGACTGAGTAACCAATTTAATAATCACCAGACGAGGAGAAAGGTGATGAACAATATGTAGAAAGAAGTGCACCCCTTAATATTAGCAGTACCTCCTGCAGGGGCCAAGTTAAGAGATTGTTGTTGAATTAAAACTAAGTTTTAATAACTCAGACTGGTAACTCTCTCAACAAAATTTTTATAGATTTCACAAAAGAAGGAATAAACCTTCAGGGAGGATGGAAAAAAGAAAGTACCAACTTTCAGAACTCCTCAGAAAAAAAGATATTCCAGCAACAGAGGCAGCGTGGTGGAAAGCACTTCATGAGCTCCGAGAAAGAGGGGAAAAACAGAGCAAGAAAGCTAGATAGGGAAAAGGTGAGTTTTGGAAGGCCTGCCTTCCCCCCCTGCCCTGGCACACTGTGCTAACGTGAGATGGAGGATGCAGCTGCCATCTCCTTTTGGGAAGTTCTCCTAGCGAAGACGCGATGCAGAGAGGTTGGCTCAAAGCTGCCGCATGTTGTATAAGAAAAGGACAGGCAGACTTCCACCACCGCATGTTTTGAAACATTCCCACTGGGAAAAAGAAATTTAAATCTCTTCCTTCACATTCCCACTATAGTTCATTACTCTGAGCCCTCTACATTCATTACAATGAACAGCTTCCCAGCAAGACTGGCACAGTCGTGTCAAATATTTTATTAACCTTGACTATTAACCATATCCCTAGACATTTAAAGCCCCGAAGGGACCCATGCGAGCCAAGTCCTTTAGCATAACTTTGTCTCCTCTACTCTGAAAATCGAGAGTGCCCCTCAGGGAGTGCTGCAAAGGCAGCTTGCCCAGCTCTGTGGCAAAAGCTTGGTTATTCTGGGGAATAAGAAAGACAGTGTGAGCAAGTGTGCACTCTGCTTGAACAAAGCCCTCCAGCTAAGCCGGAAAAACTTCTGATGGACTGCGGAGTACGGCGCGTGCATCCCTTGTGTTCCGGAAAATAAAAATCAATATCATGGAAAACTAGAATAGGGCTTTGGGGGAAGTGCCAACTCCCCGGCATCTCTCTCCCCATATATAAGAAATGTTTCTACAGCAAAGCAAATAAAACAATGAAAGTGTCAGAAGCAGCTGGTTTCTGTTTTAAAAAGAAAAGGAGAAGAAAAAAGGTAGCTGAATTTCACATTGCCTGCTTTGTTCTTCCTGAGGTCTACTGCAAAGAAAATCAGAGGAGAAATATAAGATGCTTTGGCTCAAACCTCTTTAAGGAATAAGCCATAGTCCATCCTAATATTTAATGCTAAAAATTTTATACACTGA